GCACCCTCCACAATGGGGGACCCTCCTCCACAGGGGACCCTCCTCCACGGGGGACTCTCCCTCCCCTGTGGGAAACCCTCCCTCCCCTGTGGGGGATCCTCCAGCTTCCCATCCGAGGATGTGGCTGGCTTGCTACTGGCTTTGGGGGTTCAAGTGCACCTGCTGTGGACCAGACACGCACAAACATTTCAGGACACATACCAGCAAGAAGCCTGTTTGCCCTGGAAGGTTGTCGCGCTTCCTGCAGAAGCATCTCCTTTGCTAGGAGGGGTCTCCTCTCGCCTTTTGGCGAAGAACTCCGCCATCTCTCCAAGGCCCTGTGGCCACCAACGGGAAACCTGGTCTGAACTTCTGGGAAACATTTCTTCACCTTTTTTGGTGACAGTTTCTTTTCCAGGAGGGACTCCAAAGCCTGCCGCGAAACCAGTGTTCTCTTAGTGTCTCACAAAAGTCTGACTGCTGATCACAAAACTGAAAGCGAGGTCTCCGGATGAACGTGCCGTTAAATGGCCAACTCTCATGGTCGTCCAATTGTTGTTTAACTTAATCTGAAAACTTTTTTACTGAGGACATCTGTCTAATCAGAAGGATTCTGCACGTTCTTTTACACGTTTAGTTCGCTAAAACCGACGGCAAAAAGATAAAGAATGTGACTACTTTTAAAGGCAACCAAATCTTAAAAATAAGGATCACCACATTTTAGAAACTAACCATAGTCTTCAGAACATAACGCTTTACAAGCATTTTAATTCTCAATAAACATCTCATACACTCCAACAGTATTTTCAGCGTGCAAACGAACCGCATTTTATATACGTTTCCATCAACTACTCCACATGCCCAGCGACCTCGGTCACTCACCCACCCCAGAGGGAGGACGCCCGTGCCCCCTTCCTAAAAGAGATGCACGCTCTCCTGAGTGCCCCCACCCATCGCCCGGTCCGGACGCATCGGGCACAAGTGAGCATGGCAGGGAGACGTCCTCCGGGTGGCAGCGGGCCGTGGGACGGCACGGCTCCTCAACGAGACAGAAGGAACGTCGTGCACTACCGAGGAATTCCAAAGTCGGAGTGGGCGGACATCGTGGTTAGGAAAGGTTAGGTTCCAGTACCCCTGCAAAGTCGGGGAAAGCACCGGGTAGCCCCTTGAGGCCCTTTCCAGAATTGTAAACACGTGTCCTCCGAGCAGATCAGCGTGGCCAACAAATGTTTCTAGTGGGCAGAGCACCCGTGGCCTGCCACGCTGTCCGCAGGTCTGAGCCGTCCCAGAGCGAGCTCTCCCTACGCCACCTGCAAACCACACGCACCGTGCCGGCTGCCACAACGGTCAGGGCAGAGGGGCCATGAGGGCCACCGAGGGCGTCCCCCACCCGGAACTCCCCCTCCAAGCGCCCCCTCCCTCCCAGGTCACACTGACACGGAGCTCGCCTTCCGTCCGTGGGCGGACGTGCGGGGCAGTGAGATCCCGCCGGCATCTCGGTGACCTGTCACCAGGACACAGCGCTCCGGAAACCCCTGCAGCCCACGGGCCGCGTCAGGGACGGGTGGCAGCCTCACGTGGTGGCACTCGGCAAGCTTCCGAGGGCCACGAGGACTAAGGCACTGTCACCGGCAACCACGCAAGACCCTACCCCATCCTGACTCGCACCTGCCGGCTGTGGTTTCCAGAGGTCTCCAGCCACAAGCCTCGAAGCTGTGCGCTCATAGACAAGTATTTCTTCTTGCCCCAAATCGACCTTTCTTGCCAATTTCTTCTTGCCCACTAGCTGCCCGCTGGTGCCCTCCTCCAAGCACTGACAGAAGACTGCCGTACTCTCTCCTTTCCTGTGCCAGTAAAATTCTTTCCCGGATGGTGTGGTCAGGGAATGGAGCGTTCTGGTTAATCAACGGACCCGGTTAACGGTCGCTGTGTGTTCTATACCGAGCCGCCCGTTCTCAAACAAGTGAAATGCAACTTAACAGACCCGACTGTAAAAGCCACAAAATAAAAACGAAGGGCTGCCCCCGTCCTCTGCAAGGCTTCACCGCTAGGCGGCCGGTCTGTCTGGTCGTCTCTGTGAATCCCAACGAAACCGGGCGATGGAAAACATTCCTTCCCTTAGACGCAAAGCACTCTGAACAAAACCTGGAGTCCGCTGCATCATACCTCGATTTGCCGCAGGATGTCTATGACCACCTCAGACACAGAGGAGTCGGCGTCCAGCTTGGCGGAGCAGAGGGAGAGCTGGCGAATGAGGCCGCCCAGCTCCCTGCACCGGGCAGGGAGGGGCCGCTCCCCGCGGTCGGCGAACTGGGTCACAAACACCTGCAGGGCCCGGATGGCGCTTCGGTGGGCAGCCGCCAGCCGGGACATCGCCCACGACTGGCGAGGGGGGACAGATGGGAAGTTATTTCGAAACTCAGAACTTGTCAACATTAACCCACCCTCACCGACATTTACGGCCTGTCTTCCTTCTACAGACAACTGTTTCTGTTGTGAAACTTCTTCACGGTAAAGGGGATTAAAACGTTGAAACCTTCTCTCACGGCAAAGGATCTTTTCCTTCCTATTGTCAGTTTCTTACACCAGCAGCAACAACAGCAACAAAAATCTATTTTCAGACTCTGTTCCTTGGAAGGCGACCCCGAATTCAGAATATTTACTCTGCTCGGCCCTCACTAAGGCTCTGCAAGCGAGCGCAGGGCACCCCTACACGGTACCCACCAAACACCGGAGATGCATTTACAAGGAATAAAGGTCAACCACACCAATCCACAGCCTACCTTCTCAGTATGTTTAATCTTATGTGGACTCAATTTATCCAATTCTTCCTGGATTTCTTTCACCTGTTTCATAAAGGGGGAGAAGTGAAAACTCAGTATCTTTCCACACGACTTTTTGGTAAAAGAGGACACAGCATGTCTTGTCCAGCTACGACCACTGTTTAAATCACGGCACTTGATGGGGCGCCTGGGTGGCGCAGTCGGTTAAGCGTCCGACTTCAGCCAGGTCACGATCTCGCGGTCCGTGAATTCGAGCCCCGCGTCGGGCTCTGGGCTGATGGCTCAGAGCCTGGAGCCTGTTTCCGATTCTGTGTCTCCCTCTCTCTCTGCCCCTCGCCCGTTCATGCTCTGTCTCTCTCTGTCCCAAAAATAAAAATAAACGTTGGAAAAAAAAAAAAAAATCACGGCACTTGAATTCACACGAGGCTCTTCACTCACGTACCCGGAGCAGCGCCCCGGCTTGGAGCCCGAGGTGGTGAACACAGCACAGTGCCCACCTTCCACCCCAGGTCCCCGGCATCGCGGGAACATAACGTGAAGGAGCGAAGGTGGAGGCGGCCCTGGAAAGGGGGGAGGGCCACGCCAGAGCACGGGGTCCACCCTGTGCCTCAGAGAGCTCCCACAGGGTCAGATGCGTGTTCCGGAACAATCTCTATGGCGGCAGTGTGGGTTCAGGACTGAAACCAAACCCCAGAAGAATACAGAGCAAAATCAGACTAGGGCACTTCCTTTCAATGAAAACATCCAGTTTCTGGTTCAAGCAATAAAGCCAACATGGGACTTAAGTGACTGGAAATGCAGTAAACGTGGATTAAAGAGTGAGGCACCAAAGTTAAAACAGACATTTAAGGGGCGCCTGGGTGGCTCAGTCCGTCAAGCGTCTGACTTCGGTTTAGGTCATGATCTCAACGTTCGTGGGTTCAAGCCCCACGTTGGGCTCTGTGCTGACAGCTCAGAGCCTGGAGCCTGCTTCCGATTCTGTCTCCCTCTCTCTCTGTTCCCTCTGCCACTCGTGCCCTGTCTCTCAAAAATAAATAAATGTTATGAGGCGCCGGGGTGGCTCAGTTGGTTACAACATACAACTTCGGCTCAGGTCATGATCTCGCGGTTTGTGGGTTCGAGCCCCGCGTTGGGCTCTGGGCTGACAGCTCGGAGCCTGGTGCCTGCTTCGGGTTCTGGGTCTCCTTGTCTCTGCCCCTCCCCCACTTGTACCCTGTCTCTCAAAAATAAATAAACATTTACAAAAACAACAACAACAGATGTTTAAAAACAATCTAGCTGCAACATAAAGAACGTGAATGTCTGTTTATCGCCATGAAAGGCATCCCAACACCCTCAACACGGCCCCCATTCCTCACCACTGGGTAAAGACAACCAGTGTTTACTGTTACTGCGCGTCCAGTGTGTCACAGACACGAGGTTTCCTCTTGGGCTGTGGCTTGTAGCTGGGACGGGGGCTCCAGGGTACCTGACCGGCCTGTGTCCGCAGAAATACGCGCCGTACAAGCACTGTTTTCCGGGGAAAGGACTCAGGGCTTTTACTGGATTCCCAAGAACCTATGACCCCAAAAAGCCAAAAACTGCTGAAGAGTTGGGCCGTATGCACGTAATACACAAACACACGTAAAGGCAGGTGGCAAAAGGAAAAGGAGTCATATGTCCGCACGTCCAGGAGATTCGGCCTCACAAATGACCCAGTGTGCTAGCGCTCCAGAGACGATGGGGCCCTGGCGGCCAGCGCCCCCACCCTCCGCACCTGCTGCTGCAGGGAATACAGCATCCGGGCACAGCGCACGGCCTGTTCCTGCCTCCTGACGCGGGCTCGCTGCTCCTCATCCGGTTCCAAAGCTTCTTCCGTTCTATCTGCAAACATTGTTTCCCCGAAAGTGGATTACTCACTACAGATGGAAACTTATAAAATTTTCAATTATTCCCAAAGATGATACAGTTGGAGACCTCTGCTTTTATTTAAAAAAAAAAAAAAAAAAAAAAAATGGGGCTCCCATAAAACACTTTTCACCGGCCAAGAAACGAGGACCGTGCGGGCGTGTGCGTAGCGCACGCACGGAAGAGGCGTGAAGGCCTCGGAGCAGGCCCTCCACGCGGAAAGGACCGCAACCAGACCCCAGTGGACAGTCTACGCCACCGTGAAGCGTCACTTACCGCTTTAAAATTCTTCCTATCGAGCCAAAACCTGTAATGCTTTCTAATTTCTCAAAAATCCTTTATCGGCTTATTTTTACGCTTGACAAGATTCCTTTGACACTTTCTCATCCTGAATCTAAAAGAGAAATCTTTGCACCGACACAGTAAGGCTGCTGGGCCGCCCACAGCCTTCACACGCTGCTCATGGAGCACACCCTGGTCCACCGGGCACTCCACGTCCTCCAAACACGGGCTCAAAGACTCTGCTTCTGGAAGATTCCGAGGGGCATGCAGGCATCCCTTCCTCTAGACGCGGTTCCCAAATACGTTCATCCAAAACCAGCTCTTCCACAAACTCCAGCACACAAAGCCGGAAAAGCAACGTTTTCCTCGTCCAAGTGTAGTTTATAAACTCAAGTATTCAACACTTGCTCACCAAAAAGCCAAATGACGAAAAACGTTCATTTTGAAAAAAGCAAAACTCTGAAATCAGGAGTTGTAGATACAGACGCTGTCTCCCGGGAGCCCGGGAGCCAGACCGCTTGGGTCTCGTGTGGGCTCGCAGCACGGGCACCGTGGACGTAGGGGAAGGCATCCGGCTCAGGTGGGGGGTGGGGGGGTGGGGGGGTTAACGGAACAGCCGGTGTCCGGCCACACCTGGGAAGCACAGCCAGGCGCGTCACAGCCCCCGGAGGGACCCGCGGACGGGGCGAGCTGCTCCCAGTCCGCAAGCAAGTGCACACACCTGATTCAAGTACGCACTGCAGGTTTTTGTACCTATTTGCTGTCGATCGTGGTGACGTTGTCGCTATAGTTTAGAAGGCATGGGGCGCCCGGGGGGCTCAGTCAGTTGAGCGTCCAACTTCGGCTCAGGTCATGATCTCACGGCTCTTGAGTTTGAGCCGTGTCGAGCTCTGTGCTGGCAGCTCAGAGCCTGGAGCCTGATTTGGATTCTGTGTCTCCCTCTCTTTCTGCCCCCCTCACGCACTCATGCTCTGTTTCTGTCTCTCTCTCAAAAATAAATAAACGCTAAAAAAAAAAAAAAAAAAAAAAACAAGGTACGGACTTGCGACAACCTGAAATGTTGAACTAAAAAACAAATGAGCAAACACCCGACTCAGTCCCTCCCCAGGGCTTGGGGAGCTGTCTCTAGTGCCCGCGTCAGGCCGTATCATCAGAGCAGGGCCCTGTGGCTCTGCCCCCCAACAGCCCGGACTCCGCCAGAGCCCCGAGCAGCGGGAGCGCTGTGGAGCTGGCGCGAGGGTGTCTGAACCGCGCCCGGGACCACGCTCTTCACGGAGACCGCAGGGCGATGTCCCTTACTGGCCCAGGACGGACAGGAAGTCTTTTCCCCACGCAAGTGTGTTTTGTCTCAGACCCTGTAAATTCTGCAACTGTTACTCCCCAGTGTCCCCCACCGTTAGCTGGCCCCATGGAAGGTCAGAAACAAGCGTCACTTTTCCTGGTCACAACCTCCTGGGCGACGTATCTCTGTTCTAGCGCATCCAACCACAGCTGGTTTTGTAAGAGGCACCTTGCCCCCCTCCTGACGCGCGCACAAGACGTGCACGGAGTCACCTGCAAGGCCCAGGGCCACAGCGGACCCCGAGCGGATCCCAGCACCGGCTCCTCAAGCCCCTGCCCTCAGAGCAGCTAGCGCAGCCCTAGCCCCCGCGCCCCAGGCAAACGCGGGGCGAAAAGAACACTGGACAGCTGTGGAACCGGTGTGTGACGACCACGCGCCCTCCCTTGTGGCCGGTGGTCAGCGGTCAGACTTCCCACACGCCCCAGCCCCGTCACCGCCACGTTAAAACGGACTTTGTGGAAATCCGCACACATCACGCTCCTTGTTCAACAGAGCACAAACAATTTTGCCAGGAGGGCTTCCGGATGAAGAAGGGCCACCTGCGTCCGGGAGCCGGAGGACCGCGGGTGGGGGGGCCGGGGGGCCACCTGCAGGAGCGAATGGCCCCGGGGGGGCCTCTGCCGGGAGCAGGGGCCGGGCCGGGGCAAGGTCGCCAGGAAGAAAGCCCTCCCACGCGCGCGTTCAAAGTCCGCGTGCCTTGTCACCGGTGCTCAGGCTCCTGAGGGTGGGGGTCCCGAGGGAGTGTGTGCAACCCCCCCCCCCCCCCCGCTCTCGGCCTCCCATCCAAGTCACGAGCCCTGTTGCTCTCACCTCTTTTAATTACTTCTTCCATCCTACGGACGCAAGTGGTCAGCTCCTCCTGGAGTCTCTGCACCCCCAGCAGGCCCTGCGGGCCACCCGTCCTGGCGTGCGGCTGGGGCCCCGGCTCCAGGGCGGGGGGCTGCCCCGGCTGAGGGGTACACAGGTGAACCTTCGCACCCGAGCAGGAAGCTCCCCGCCCGCACGTCTCGTGGCTGCAGGGACACATTTCCCGGCTCCTTGCCTCCTTCCTCTGCTCCCTGTGCTCAGGCACCTTGTGCTCGGGGTGTCCCCACCTCTGAGAGGTTTGGGGCTCACTTCTGAGACGCTGCTGTCTCACGTGCTGTTCGAACTGCCTGCGCCTCACGTCCCTCTTGGCCAGGTGGACGGCATAGCTGAGCCTCTCCTCGGAGATGACGGAGAAGGAGGCCGAGCCGCTCACGTCGGGCCCGGCTCTGAAGCCCGGATCCCCGCCACGGTAGGACTCGCCGGACGAGTGCGTCAGTTTCTCGATTCTGATCGCGTCGGGGCAGGAATAGCGCGCGGCCAAGTTGCTGGAATGTGCAGGAACACTCCTGTTAAATTGCAGCTGGTTCTTAAAAAAAAAGGCAAACAAAGGTGGGAGCACGTGAGAACACACTGCACCACGTGGGAGGGTGTGCTCTCCCCACCCGAGCGTCCCTGTTGAGACGCATTCTCCTTGTGCGTGGACAGAAGCGGCCGCTCTCGCACGCCCCCGGCTCCCCCGTGTCCCCGCCGCTGCCCGGCAGCACGCGGGGTCCTCCTCCGAAAGGCAAAGCCCCACGCGGCGGCCGGAGAGCCCCTCGCGCCCTGGTCTCTGCCTCGCCTCCAAGCGCCAGGTTCCGGGAGAGGCGCCGCCGTCCATGCTGAGCCTGGCAGAAGCCGCTGTGGACGCCCAGCCGCCCACCTGCTGGCCGCGCCACCCCGCCCTGCACCTCAGCACACCTGGTCCCCACGGTCCCCGCACGCCTCCTACGCGGGCTTCAGTTTTGGCCAGTTTTAATCCTGACACAAGTGAGTTTTGTTTTGTCTTTCCCTTAATGAACACGGGCGCTTCCGTAGCCTACTGTTTTCATGGTCTTCCATGGCTGCGCTTTCCAAACTCCCATGAATGGCCTTTTCATGCTCAGCTGAGCTGTAACCCTATTAACCATTTACACGCTTCTCATTTTTCCACCAACGGACACATCACTTCCATTAATATCGCCACGCGTTTATTTTCCCTCATTTTAAAGCATTTCCTACGACGAAACACCTGTTCTGGGATTACTGAGTCAAGGGGAACGAGTGATTTCACAACCACAGGCCCCATGCAGCAAATGGCCCCGAGGGTCTGTGCACACTCCATGATGCCTTTAATCTGGGGACGGCCTCTGGGCTCTCTTAAGAAAGTGCACACGTGTGATCACGTGACAAAGAGTCACTTTCAGATAAACCCCCCGTAGGGGCGCCTGGGTGGCTCAGTCGGTTAGCGTCCAACTTCGGCTCAGGTCACGGTCTCCCAGTTCGTGGGTTCGAGCCCCGCGTCGGGCTCTGTGCTGACGGCTCGGAGCCTGGAGCCTGCTTCGGATTCTGGGTCTCCCTCTCTCTCTGAACCTCCCCTGTGCGCATACTCTTTCTCTCTCTCAAAGAGAAATAAATACTAAAAAAAAATTTTTTAAAACACCATAACCAAAATCAAAGAGCTGAAAACTTAGAAGAAAAGTATTTATAAATACAAAGTGTCCCCTATATAAACACATGTTTAAAAGGGAGGTGAGGGGCGCCTGGGTGGCGCAGTCGGTTAAGCGTCCGACTTCAGCCAGGTCACGATCTCGCGGTCCGGGAGTTCGAGCCCCGCGTCGGGCTCTGGGCTGATGGCTCAGAGCCTGGAGCCTGCTTCCGATTCTGTGTCTCCCTCTCTCTCTGCCCCTCCCCCGTTCATGCTCTGTCTCTCTCTGTCCCAAAAATAATAAATAAACGTTAAAAAAAAAAAAATTCACTTTAAAAGGGAGGTGAAAAAAGATCACAACAGTAGGAAATGGGAAAACACAGGAGCAGACCAATGATACAAAAAGATACAAACATGACACTGTAACATAGGAAAAGTTGGTCAATCTCATAAAAACACAAATTAAAAACACACTGAACCAGCAGCCGACTGCAACAAGGGAGAGGGGAGGCCGTGCTGTGGCAGGTATAGCTGTAGGCAGGGCCCAGCCCCGGGGACAGGCCCACAGGCCCTCCCCCCCCACCCCCCCGCAGCCACCACACTGGTGACAGGGGGTCCCCGCTGGTAACTGCAAAGTGCAGAACCCACCTGAAGGTCCATGTAGGAGAGCGGCCGAGTCAGCTGGGAGCACTTGGAAGAAGGAAGAAAGAGTGAGCCTCCGTGTGCACCCCTCTCTAAACCCCAGCAGGCGGTGCTGAGACACCCTGCTCCGTGCAAAGGGCCGGTGCACAAAGACGGTCCGTGACTGCTACCCTTCGAGCGGGGAACGGATCTCTCATGACAAGATACACGTGCGTCTGATCACTTGTGCCGAGAAACCTAGGAACGGAACATCAGAGACTGACTTGGTCAGGTCCGTGCATGGGGTGTGGGAGGGCGGGGCGGAGGAGGTGCGGGAGGGGATCACACTCTCCGACGCCTTCTGGCGTCGGCACACGGGGGGCCCCGCTAATGTGTCACATGGAGCAGACGGGGAGGCAGGAAGGGAAAGACCAAAATCCGTAAGAATAAAGGAAAACCCTGAAAATGAATACTAACAGAAACCCGTGCGCCAAACTGAATTTGTAATGAGTAACATAACCACACGGTGAGGGGTAAGAAAAACAAACCTGAGTAACTAGGTTATGCAGCCTCGGGTTAAAACAATGCTGAGCTCTTGAGGGCGGGGCTCTGCCTGGGGAGGTACAGACGAGATTGCGGCAGTGAAATCCCTGCACGTTCTGAGACCGAGCAGACACGACATGTGGATAACCGGGTTGACGACAGGAGTCACAAAAGGGAGGTGCCGGGCTGCCACGGACGGCGTGCGCGTGAGCTGGCCCGGGCTCGGGGGCAGGGGAGGCGGGGTGCACCGCCCGTGTCGATCTCCACGCGGAAGTGCACAGGCACACGGGTACGGACGCCTGTCCCCACTTCTGTCCTCCAGGACGGCCTCGCACGAGAGCCCCCGGGAATCAGTGTGCCTACTCGGTACCCACATGTGAGTTCTAACTTCCACAGGGGAAAAATATGCTGGCCCCGGAATACCTTTTTTCATACCAAATGTGGCCACAGATCGACAGAGACGTGTGAAGGGGCAGCGGAGTCAGCCTGGGGGGGCTCCCACTTGGCCGGGTCAGGGCCCTTCTCAGTACCCTCCCGGACACGGCCAGGCTCGGTGAATCTGCTCTGATACCAAGAGGTCAGTCACCACGTAGCAACCATCAGGGTAAAAAGTACCAATGAAGGCTGAACTAGGAGATCAGTCTAGGGGTGAAAGGGTGCGAACAAGGTCTCAAAGTCAGACACCCCCGACTACGGAAGGTGAACGGGCCAGCGACTTTACAGGGGAAGCCTGGCGGGTGCCACCGTCACCCTCATCCCGGGGCTGGAGTGAACACTGCCGGGTGGGGGACTGACGAGATCGACACGCGTACCTCCCAACGGGACACGCGAGGACTCAGCATCACATTGGGGTTTTCCCGCCACGGGTGTGTAACCCGAAGGTCACTAGAAAGGTCGGGCAAACCCAAACGGATGGAAAGTCGCCCAATAACTGGCTTGCATTTGTCAAGAATGTTGATGTCGTGAAATACAAAGTCTCAGAAACTGTTCAGACCCGAGGAGCTAAGCAAACACGATGAGTCCCGCAGCTCAGCGACCCTGGTTCCTTTCACTGTAAAGGACATCATTGGGCCAACTCACAAAACCTCAGGACGGCCTGAACATCACATGGCCACACTGTCCTCACGTGTGCTTCCTGATTTCCATCACCACGTTATGACTACGTAAGAGAAGTCCTTGTCTTCAGGAAATACACACCAAGTCCTTAGTGGTAAAAAGGTATCGTGGCTGCCACTTGTACTTTGCCAGTTTAGAAAATGCGTGTGCATGCGCGTGTAGATGTGTATGTGCGTATGTGTGAGCACGTATGCATGTATGTGTGTGCCTGCAACACGCGTGTGTAGAGAGGGAGAGACAGAGAACGGAGGGAGGGAGGGAGGGAAAACGTAACAGACGTGTTAACATGTGGGGAATCCGGGAGTAGGAGCAGGGCACCCAGGAATTCTGGGTACTGTCACTGTAACTTTCCTGGGTGAAAACCACACGGAGCAATTATGCCACGCCCACCAGAATGGCCCTAATGAACACAAACACCGCCGGGCTGGCAAAGGGGCCACGGTGCCCATCGCCGCCGGTAGGGACGGGAAGCGGCACAGCCCAGGAGAAAGGTCCGCTGGTTTGTTAGAAAACTAAACACACCCCTGCCTTGTGACCCAGCGATCTCACTCCCGGGCATTTACACAACAGAAACGCAAACATGTTTACAAACGTGTACAAGAATGTCCACGGCAGCTTCATCTGTAAAAACCCACACGAGAGGTTGGATTGTTACAAAGCAACAGGCCACGACCCACGTAAGGACAGAGAGAGGGTCACACCCACTGAAAGAAGCCTTACGTCAAAGAGTAGGCACGATATGGTTCTACTTAGAATGGGCAAAATTAACCCACGGTGGAAAAAACCAGAATGGCTGCCTGCGAAGGGTAGGAAGGGGCGTGAGAGAACTTTCTGGAGCCATGGAAAAGATCTCTATCTTGACAGAGGCATGAGTGACACCTGTGGACACGTTGGTCTAAACTCAGCAAACGTGACAAGATGTGTACATTCTGAGGTATCCAACTCAGACCTAAAGTTTGCATCGAGGGAAAGCGGAAATTCGGAGAGTAAGTTCCAAGAGTCAGTTCTGGAGGGCGACTCCGCACGGCGCTGGGTCTGCAGCTCACGCTGTGCATTTCCGAACGTGCGACGCGCCGGTGAGTGGATTGCGGAGGACAGACTGGAGAACAGACACGCAAGGAAACTAGCGGGACAGTAACGGAACTTGGGCGTTCCCTGTAGAACTCGGCTTCGCTGTGTGAAGATTTTCCTAAGTTCACTGTTGGAGGGAAACGTATTTCAGTAGCGACCAGGTGAAGCCGGAGGGTAACTGGTTATTAAGTGATGTTACGGAATCACCTTTGTCCATTTTCTTAGGTGTGATAGTGCGTAAGCAGGAGTGCTCTAAAATACTTAGCAGTGGAGTGTGCTGACGGCCGCAGCTGGCTTTGAAACGGCTCCCCAAACACCGGAGGGCAGAACAGCACACGCCGCTCAAAGTGTCAGATCTCGAAGGTGGTTTAAAAGGCGTTGGCCGTCTTTTTCTTGCAGCCTCTGTTCCAAACGTGTCGCGCTAAAAACCTGAAGACAAGATGACAGAAGTACCTGGGTCTGGCGCTGGCTGGTCACTCCTCCCGTCCAGTGGGACGCCAGGCTAGATGAGCACGGCGGGGAGCCGGCCTGCCCCGGCCCGTTCCGTCAGAGGGCAGAGCGCTGGCGAGAGCCCACCTACAGTCATCGGTCATCGGTCGTCGCCTGCAACGGGAGGAGGCTGCTTTCAGACCAAGGGCAATCAAACACCGGAAGGAGGGGACACCATGCCACCCTCAGAGGACAGTACTCTAGAGGAGGCCCGCAGCAGCCTCGCGCTGACCAGCGGGTGCTCCGGGAAGGTACCGGCCAGGGTCCTCCACAAGAGCGTCTTCCCTTTTGGAATCCTCCTTTCCAAGAGAACGGGGGACACCGTGTGAGTGGCTACCTGTCGAGCCCAAACCTCAAGGGCCACCAGTGAGGCGTTACTCCAGAAACGGCTCTGCCACGGGAACCAGGCAGCCTTCTGCTCACAGTCTGCATGAGCAAACCCTAGCCACTCGGCGAAGGGCGGCGTGCTCACTCCCTGGGCTAGCTCGGCAGGGCAGAGCCGACCGGCTCCGGGTGAGGCCTCGGGGTCAGAACACTGAGACCCCTGCCAGGATCTGCCACTGAGTAGCGGAAGGGCCCCCAGACCTGCAACCCCACACCCCCCACACGCACCCCGTGAGCTGACAACCCGGAAGGCGTTTTGTCAGGATTTGTAGGGACGTGGCCGCGCTCACCCCGCTGTCTCGGACCGCCTCCTCAGACGCCGATCACGCCTGCCTCGTGGCGTGCCGACCACACACCGGTCTCTGTTATTGACCTACTTCACGGCCAGGCCCCAGCCTTCCAGCTATGCCAGCTTCCCGGGGGGCCGGGCCCAGTCCTGCTGCTCTGAGATTCCCCACAATACAGGGTTTTGAGCAGAACAGATAATTGAACTCAACGTCTGTTGAATTAAGCTGATTTTCCACAAACCGATTCATTTTAGACGTACTGGTGTGTTTGTGCTCTCAAAGAATCCTACAGCAAATCAATTGGGAAATCCAGGTTTAAAAAAAAAAAATCCCTAATTTAAGCTTTTGAGTAAACCCAAGGTCTGTAGACTGGATTTGCTTCAAGACAGATACACGTGTAGGAACAGAAGGGCAGCTGTTCAAGATTCCCTGTTCCCACAGCTGCAGAGACGAGAGCGACAACGAAGACGGGAGGGCACGGGGGCGAGGCAGTCCCGCTGGCTTTTGTCACCACGGTCACTACAGTCCAGGGCAGCCGCCGCAGAACGGAGGAGCCCGCAGAGCTGGGGCCGGGGCCCCGCGAGTTCTATGTGGCCGACACTTTCCCCAGAAGCCAAAGGCCTAGGACTCAGGGCTGCACTAGGGAAACACTAGGTGACTGCCCCCCCACCCCACCCCGGCCCCCCGTTGCAGGATACCTCGAGTGACTGACACACACACACACACACACACACACACACACGTACACAGAGTCCAGTGACACCCACCCCACTGTTCCCCTATACACATTCCTGGGACGCCCCTCTCTCTGCAACCTGTCCCTTCCCCACTGCTCCAGGACACCTCCTAACTTGTCACCTGATAGACCCAGGAAGCCTCCACAAAGCATCTGTCCCAGATCCCCAAGACACCCCTACGGCCTGCGCCTCTGTCTACAACCCAGGACCAACCTCCCCCCAGCCTGTCCCCTCCCAAAGAGCCCAGGACACCCCCCACCCCGTTCCCTACACGTGCTATGAGAAGGTCCCCCTCAACCTGTCCTCCCCCAAAGGGCTCCCCCGGACCCTCACTGCAGACGCTCCTCCGGCCTGTGCCCCCCCACTCTGCTGCGGGTGACCTCTGAAATGGCCGATGCCCGTCTCCTGCCCTGCAACCGGGGGCACAGGGCCTCTTGTCCCTGAGGCCGCAGGCACGTTCTCACAGTGGCTCTCTTCCCCTGGGGGCCGCGGGCAGCTCCAGGACCGGGTCCCACACCCGTGGGCAAGAGGCGCCCCCACTGCCTGTCTGCCTCCCGCCTCCCCCCACGAAGCCCCAGCTCCCTCCGCAGACGGCGTCCTGGACGCTGGGAGGCCGGCGGCAGCCTCGGCGGCTTCTTCCCCGGCACACCCAGTCACCCACACCACGGCAGGCACGCGCCCCGCTGCGGGCACCCCCACAGCCGCGAGCACCCCCAAAGGCAGGGGCACCCTGGCAGCCTCAGGGACCGGCCCGCTGGCTCTTCTCCTCCACAGGCCATCCACAGGTCCCTCCGTCACCGGTCTCTGTCCCCACACGCCCGAGACATCCCCACAGCTGGCATTGGCCGTCATCGGCCTGGGGGCCCCCGCCGCCGTGGGCACCCCCTCGGCCCCAGGCATCTCAGCAGCCTGCCCCCCTCCCAGCGAGCCGGAGGGGCCCCCCGGGCCCAGCCTCTCCCCCGTGGGCCCAGGCATCCCGGCGCTGGGGGACAGCCCCACCCGTGAGGGACCCCTGGCGTCTACGGGTGCTTGCACCGTGTCCCCCTCCCCCCACAGGCCTGCGACACCCCCGGGGGTGGACTCCTCCCGGACCGGCCGGGGCGTCCTGGGAGCCACGGGCACCGGGGCAGCGGCAGACGCCCCTGCACTCGGTCTCCGTCCCCAAGGTCTCGGCACACCCCCAGAGCCCGTCTCCTGCCCCGCAAGCCCGGGCGCTTCAGGACCCCCGATGGCCTGCCCCCTCTCCCACGGGCCTGGGAAAGCTGCAGAAGCCGCAGTCTCCCCCGCAGGCCACGGCCCCTCGGGAGCCACGGGTAACAGGGCAGCAGAGACGCCGTCGCACAGGCTCAAGCCACCTCGAGAGCCGCCGTCCTGGCACGTGGAGCCGGACACCCACACGGCAGCGGGCACGGCCACAGGCGCCCTCGCGAACCCCCCCGGGCCGCACCCGTGCCTGGGCAGGACTGCGGCCCCAGGCAGCCCCTCTGCCTGTCTCCTTCTGCACAGACAAGACAGATCCCTGGGGCCGGCCTCTTGACCCGCAGGCCCGGGTGCCCCCAACGCTGCGGGCAGCAGGGTCTCCTGCTCCCCCAGAGCCTGCCTCCCATCCCACAGGCTCACAACACCCCCACAGCCTGTGTCCCCCGCAACCACCCCCGGCGCCCCCAGGGCCCGCTGCCCGTCCCACAGGCCTGGGGCAGCCCCGTAACCCGCCTGTCCTCCCGGGGCCCCTGGTCCCGCCACCGCTGCCCCCACCGGCTGCTGGGTCCCCCACACACCAGGGATGCTCCCGCAGCCCGTCTCCGTCCCCAGGGCCGTGGGCACCCCCAGGCCCTGCTCCACACTCCACAGGCCCGGAGCGCCTCCAGGGCCCACCTGCAGCTCGGCAGGACCGCATGCCTCTGCGGGGTGTGCAGCTGCCCAGGAACCCGGGTCCCCTCCAGAGCCGGTCTCTACCCACACAGCCTGCCCCCATTCCCTGAATCCTGGGTCACCCCCACATCTAGCTTCCTCTTCAACAGCGCAAGGCACCCCCACGGGCTGTCCAGTGCCCCACGTGCCAGGAGCACCCCCAGACCCCATCCCCTCCACGGCCTGTCCGTTCCGCCACGCGCCCAGGGCACCTGCACAGCTGGCTTCCTCCTCCACCCTGCCGGGCGCCCCCACAGCATCAGGCAGCACCCTTGAAGCCTGCCCCCCTCTCCATGAGCCCGGGGTGTCCCCACAGACGGTCTCTGGGCCAGGAGCCCCCAGCACCTGCAGGGACTGCCCTCTGCCCCACGGACCAGGGGCACTCCCCCAGCCCCTCTCCCTGTCCACAGGCGCGGGCCACCCCGCGGCCTGTCCTCTCCCCAGCAGGTAGGGCACCATCCCAGGCACACCCCCCGGCAGCAGGCCAGCCGCCTGTCCCCGCCCGCACAGGCCTGGGACCCTCTCACAACCCGCCCCGGGCCCAACGCCTGTGGACACTCCTGAGGCCCGGGGCATTGCCCGAGCCTGTCCCTTCACCCAGGGCCCCGTGAGACCACCCCGGCTCGTCTCCACCCAGGAGGCCCTGCCCGGGACGCCCCTGTCAACCGGGCCCTCTCCCGCGGGCACCGGGTGGAGCTCCACTCTGCTTCCCTCCCCGCACCCCGCCGCCGCCCGCATAGCCTGCACCTTCAGCCACAGCTCCAGGATGCTCTCGTGCCCCATGGATCCCGGGCGGCCTTTCCGCTCACAGCCCCGGGGGCTCCGGTAAGGCGCCCCGTCCTCCTCCCCGCCGGTGCCCGTCACCCACACCGACCCGACAGGCCCCACCACCTGGGGCTCCCCCACCGCGCCGTCCACCCACACGGCGCCCGGGTCCCCCGCGGCCTCCGCCGAGCCTGCGGCGCCGGGGGTCTCCGAGGCCTCCGGCCCGTTGGCCCCCGCCGCCCCGGCCGCGTCGGCCTCCGCTCTCCTCCCCCGGGGCCGCCGACAGTCTCGCAGCCTCTCTGCGCTCACGCAGCGCGTGTCCCACGCCGAGG